CTCAAGAACGACCTAGTGGAGCAGTTCCTATGGGACAGCTCCTGGGACCTGTGGGCTTTCCGAAGGAGGGAGCCCCTATCCTGCTCCTCTTACCCACGTGTACCTCTGGCCAGCCAGGTGAACTAACTTCCACACTGTCCAAGCACACCCTCCTCGGGCTCACTCACATCTCTGTGCCTCTGCATCGGCTCTTCCCCCTGCCTGGGATGCCTTTCTCCTTTTATCCGCTTGGCAACTCCTATTCAGTCTTCAAGACTCAGTTTAAAAGGGTCAGCTCCTCCTGGAAATTTTTGCTGTCCTCCTGCCCCAGGCAGAATTGGTTGCTCCCTTTCCTGTCTCTCCCAATAGTCTTCTGTTATATGGCATCGATCCATCCACCTATCCATCCATCCATCCGCCTATCCATCTACCCATCCATCATCCACCCATCAGCCATCCATCCATCCATTCATATTTATTGAGCACCTATAGTGTCTATCCCTGATCATGTTGTTTTGAAGTTTTAGACAAGTCTGGCTTTCCCTAGATGAGTGGTTCTTAATCTTTTGGGGGTCAAGGACACCCTCCTCCAGAAAAATGCTCATTTGCACATACATGCCAGACATTGCTTCCTCTTCAGGGATCCATGGTCGTCCCCGAAGCCAGGCTGTGGACCCTGGGTGTCGTGGACATTGTGATGGGCTGCTCAGATCCCCCTCTGGACTGAGCGTGACTTATTGGCTTTTCCCCCAGCCGCTGGGAGCGTGGCTGGGAGACAGCCCTGAGCGTCAGCCCTCTCTGGAGATTGTCTCGATTGTGAGGACAGTCACCAAAGGCACGCCTCACTCCAGGGCAGGCCCACTTCCAATGACAGTGCAGTGTGCAACTGCGAAGGCTGGAACCTGTCACCTGATTTGGGACAATTCCGAAGGGTCCTCTCAGCTCCAGGGCTCCCCGTGGGCTTGACTGAGGACTTTGTCCGGATTGCCTCGCAGCTCAACTTCTCCCTCTGCTGAAACTGCATCCTTCTGCTCCCTTCCACAGGTTGTCCCCAAGAGCACTTTCTAACCAACATCCTACACGCCAAGTTCCATCTCTGAGTCTGCTTCCCAGGGCCCTCGCTGGATTACAAAGCCCTGCGGAGCTTCTTGAGGACGGCAACAGCGTCTTAACGACTTCTGCATCTCCAGCAGCTCTCACTGGGCAGGGTGCATTGTGGATGCTCCAGAAACATCTACTGAATGCATTTTAATGCATTTTCTCTTGGTTCTCTGTTCTGTCCCTCTGTCGTCCCAGCAGGAGAGTTCTCATCAGACATCCAGGAGAAAGGGACGGCCCCACCAGCAGGATGCCAGTGGGACCAGGGCTGTGGGCCTGTTTCTGGGAAATGTACCATTTGCCAATGAAACCGTAACCAACCATGGGAACAGAATTCAAGCTAACTGGTTACTACAAAGTGGGGGCAAAGGGGCCTGGCTGATGCCAGGGCTGTGTGGTTAGGGTGAAAGCTCAAGGGGATGGCTGGGAGGCTGGAGGCTGGCAGGAATGGGTGACGGCGGTGGTGGTGAATTGTGGGGTGAATCATTTGGATGTCAGACTGCCCCAGAACCCGGAAAATCTCCACTTCAGTTTTTCTTTTTTTTTTTTTGGAAGATTAGCCCTGAGCTAACGTCTGTTGCCAATCCTCCTTTTTTTGCTGAGGAAGACTGGCTCTGAGCTAACATCCATGCCCATCTTCCTCTACTTTATATGTGGGATGCCTGTTACAGCATGGCCTGCCAAGCTGTAGATAAGTCCACACCTGGGGTCCGAACTAGCAAACCCCAGGTTGCTGAAGTAGAACGTGCAAACTTAACCGCTGGGCCACCGAGTTGGCCCCTTAACTTCAGTTTCTACAGTTGGAAATTCCTTCACAGAATAAGTATCTATGGAGTGCCTTCTCCATGCCAGACACTGTCGCAAAGATGGCGCCCTTCAAAGGCCAGGACTCCAATGCCTGCTCCTCTTCTCACTCTGTCACCCAGGCAAGCACATTACATCCTCTTTGCTGACATCTGCTGAGTGGTAATCAGTGAGCACCCAGCACTGTGCTAACTCTTTACACACAATGTGTCATTTCATCTTCATAACAGCTTCATCAGGAGATATGTGTTGTTAGTTCTTCTTTATTGACAAGGACATTGGCTCTCTCATGAGGGGATCAGAAACAGGCCCAAGATCACACAGCTAATCATAGGGCCGAGAGGAGATGTGAATCCAATCTGCTGGAGATCCAAGCCTGTGTCCTTAGGAACTATGGTGCTTAACTTCTACGAGCTTAGTGCCCACAGTATGAAACAGGTACAATCAATTCCTAGCTCTCTAGGTTGTCAGAGATTAAATAGCCTATGTGAGAGGCCTAGAGGGTACCCAGTGAATGTCCATTCTGTTCTGCTCCCCATTTCCCTTGTCCCCTGCCTCAGCACTTCCCTGGGCTGGGAGGAAGTGTGGCTGCATTTGCCATCCCTCCAAGGATGAACATCTCCATTCCAAGTTCAGCACGGTGTCTGGCACGCAGCCAGCACTCACCGAACACTGTCGACCGAAACAGATGATCTGGGGGTCCCCACCCTCAGTTCTCTGGACTGCAAACTGGGGACGCAACTCAGTCCATCAGCAGTCCATGATGCAAAAAGCTGTAGCAAGCACCACGAAGACAATTCTCTTGGTGCCACGTAACTGTACTCTCAAGCCACTGGGACTTTCAGGTTTTTCTCAGCAGAATGGGGCAGAAACAGATGGAGGCGATCCCCTGAGCCCTCAGGGCTGAGAAGGGTACCAGAACGAAGATGAAGGTATGCCAGGTCCCACCTGATGTCTCAGGTCTCTCCCACAGGCAAACTCCAGCTCGTTCTCATCCTTACCACAACCCCAACTGCGGACACTCTTGTATATTGGGGGCATTAACTCTCCTTCCACCGTAGGCTCCTGGGAGAGGCCGTGGGCAGGTAAGCACTTAAAACTTGAACCTGCAGGTCAGCCCTCCCTCCCGCCTTCCTCCTCTGCAGAAGCCCAGGAGCTGGAGGCTACAGAGGGACAGACACCACAGCCTTGCAGAGACAAGTCACATCTTCAGCTTCCCTCAACCTGTGCAAGCACCGAGTTGCCATGGCGACGGTGCAGCCCTGAGATGCAGTGGCTGCAGACAGCATGGGTGCTTCTAGGGCTCAAAGCCAAGGGGGGACACTGTCTGGCCTGGGAGGCTAGGTGATTGGGCGGGCCAGGTGGGGGAGGAGGAGAGGAGCCCTCCTCTAGGCTTGGCTGGTAATTGCTGCTAAGTGAGGGGCTGTCATTGAACCCAATGTGCGGGCGGCGAGGGCCCCCGCTCTGCACCCTGTAATTACCGCACCAGACAGCAGCGCTTGCTCCCTGTGTGGGGAGAGGGGGACAGCGGGGGGCGTAGACAGGAAGCTCTCAGCCACCTGAGCCAGCAGGGCTCTGGCAGGCTCTCCCTGCTGCCCAAGCATCCTGCATCCCAAGCAGCCTCTCCGGCAGAGGCGGGAGGCCCCCCGCCCCTCCTTTCTGCTGGCTCTCCCCACGTCATCCGGTGTGGAGCACAGCTTCCTTTAATCCCAGCCTCTGAGCTTGTGGAATCCAAGGAGGGGCAGAGGTGCAGGAACCAGAGAAGCAGCACCTCAGGGAGGCCCTGTGTCACCCTCCATTTGTGCAAGAAGTCCTCGCTGTGAAGCTGAACTGGGGGCAGATCTCGGTTCTAATTCCTCCTGAGCCCGGAGGCTCTGAGGACCGCAGGCTAGTCACTGTCCCCTCCTGGGCCTCAGTCCCCCGGGCTGTAAGACTGGGAGTGGGACTCAATAATTCTTAAGGATTCTTCTATAGCGAGGATTGGCAAACTACAGCCAGCAAGCCGAATCCTATTTTTGTAAATAGGGTTTCACTGGAACACGGCCCCGCCCCTTTGTTTCCATATCTCTGTCTGTGGCTGCTTTTCTGCTACAATGGCAGACTTGACTAGCTGCGACAGAGACTACGTGGCCCCCAAACAGAAAATATTTACTATCTGGCAGAAAAAGTTTGCCCGCCCGTTTCTAAAGCATTAACATTTTCCTGGACTTAAGAGTGAGCTTTCGTGGCCCCAATCTGATTAGAACAATTCATAACAAGCCCCGTCCTGGTCCCTACCCACAGACACCCACTGTGCTCTTCCAAGGACCCCTGCCTGCACGTGGACAGCGGTGGCAGGTGGGCAGTTCGAGAGCCGCAGCACGGTGCAATGGCGCCACCTGCTGTGAGAGCCTAAAAGCACTTCTGTCTGGAAGGACTCGGCCCCACAGCCCAGCAGCTCTCCCAACGCAGGGGAGGCAGCTCTCAGCAGCAGGCCTGGCCTCAGAAGCTTCGCCCCTCACAGCCGGGATCCCGGCCCCTCCCTCCCCCATTTCATAAAGAAGGCTGCAGTCTAGAGGGGCGGCATGACTTGTCCAAGGCAGGTGAGTGCAAGGCCCTGGTCCCAGAGGCCAATAAACCCTTCTATACATGTTCTGTGGACACACACGCGGACACACAGACCTGGCCATGCACCCTAGCTCGGCGCTCATTTAGGGTCTGGGTTCCATGCCTGCTGAAAGGATTTTCAAAATAAACATTTACATAACATTCAAGCTGTTACCAATATTGACTCAATCTTCAGAACAACTCTAAGTAATTATTATCCCCGTTTTACAGATGAAAGGACTGTGATATAGAGAGGTTAAGTAATTTGCTCAAGGTCACACAGCTGGTGACAGGATTCAAATCCAGGCTGTGAAAGTATTAAAGTCCCCAGAATACTCAGTACATATTTTTTTCCTGCCTGCAGGTGTGGTGAGGCCCCAAGGAAGGGCACCAGGACTCAAAGAGGAGCACAAGGCATGTGGGAGGTCTAGGGTATGACCAGTGATCTGAAGCAGGCCCCAGGCACAGAAGGAAGGGGAGAGGCCAGGCCCACACCGCCCCTCCCTGGCCCCACACCTCCAGGCAACAGAAGGTGGCCAGTGGACCGTAAACCCTTTATTTCCAAACTATAAATAGATCTGCTGAGAAAAGCTGCTCTCCAGGTGATGAGGCCCCAGCCTCTCCAGCTCCCCTTCCGAACCGCTCTGCAGTCCAAAGGCAGTCCCCTTAGAAACCTGTTTGCCTCTGAAAGCACAGGCTTGGCTATCAGAGCCTGGCAGGCAGTCGAGAAAAACAGCCCCTCCCTTCTCCCGCTGCGACCCCAGCACAGCTTGGGCCCCAGTCCGGCCAGGTCCCCGGCTGGCCCCGTGCTCACCTCTGCCTCACCAACTCCCTGACCCAGCCCCAGCACGTGGTCAGGTGCCATCTGAGGCCCAGCCTGCGAGTCTCCAGTCCACCGCTTCTCCGGCTGCTGTGAGGAGCCACCTGGGGCCCCAAGCTGCCGTTGGCTGTGAGCACCCCGGAGTGGCCTGCTTCCACGCTGGTCCCCTGGCTGGTCACTGCTGCCTCTGGGCCACAAAGTACTCCTCCTCCTCCTCATATTCATCCTCCCCTGGCTGGCTGCTCCGGAGCAGCAGCTCCAGGTCAGGGTTGGAGCCCAGCCCCTTCAAAGGTTTAGGGCTGCCATCACCTGAGGATAAAGAGAGACCAGTTACAGATCCACTAATGGTTTTCTCGGTGCGCCCTGATGTGGGTGTGTGCTGCGTCACCCAGGCCCCCACGCAGCCCCCCACCCACTCCCTGGAAATGACCCATGTCTTCTCGGAGGAGTGGGGCTGAAGAATCACCAGGCATACTTCCTGAATTAGAGGAGCAGCCAACGCAGGGGCGGCTGAACTGTGCCGACAGCCACCAGGCTGGAACTGCTTTGGGGAAGTCAAGAGACACCTGCCTCTTCCTGGTAGGGCTGGGTCGCAGGGAGAATGCCGCCAGAGCACAGGCCTGGGAAGGGGCTCCGGCTCACCTCGGGAGTGCAGAGCTTTGAGGGCGACGTGCAGGGATATTCCCGAAAGGCAGAGGGCGAAGCCCAGCCAGTTCAGGAGGCTGATCTGATCACCCAGCAGATGCGCCGCCAACAGCAAAGTGCAGACTTCCTGCAGACAGAGAAGCAGGAAGGGGAGTGATCAGCAGGAGGCAGCGGCTCCTTTGCAAGGAGGGTAGAGGGCAGGGGCACTGGGCCCCCCAGTAGGACAGAGCCAGACCTGCCGAGACTCCTGGGGCCGCCGGGGCAGGCTGGCCTGCAAGGCAAAGAGGAAGGCCTCCCCAAGCTCAGAGGACCAGGCCCGCCTGTAACGCCTTCCTCCCTTTGTATCACTGAGATGCAACAAAGGAGGTGCTTTTCATAGAATTCCGTCAGGATTAAAAGGCAAATGGCACCCAGGGCTGGGAGCCCGGGTATCAGCCCACGGCCATGTCCACAGGCATAAGGGCCAGCTGCCCTTCCGGAAGGCACCTACAGATGGAGAGGCCTCAGCTGCCACGGAAGAATGCAGCGTCACCCTGGGCTCTACAGGACACACACTGGTCACGGGGTTCTTCACAGACAGTGGCTGCAAATGGGACTGGTGAGAGGATTCATTCTTAGAACCACAGCTTATGCCTTGTCATTTGGTTGGCAACTGGATGACCCTTGGGGAGGCCTATATTTCCGGTATTAAGAACATTGCTCCACTATCAGTGACTGCCTGGTCCAAGAGAGAACTCCCTCCACGGCCCTGAGCAGGGAGGAGAGATGGGGTGGGTAGGGCAGGGGAGAAGTGACGACAGGAGAGGGCAAGAGTGCAGACAGTGGCAGGAGGCAGGACTGGCAAACACAGGGCCCTTGTGACGTAACTATCCCTTACTGGGCCCATGGCAGACACTGCCGATCGATCACGGAACTCTTTACTGCTGAGTCTGCTTGGGGGATTCTCAGCCCATGGCTCCAGGCTGCTGCCAAATGACCAGAGTTGGCACTTGTGGTAAAATGCAAATAGGACCCAGGCTTGGTGCAGTCAGACCCGGCTTTGAATCCCAGCTCGGCCACCTCCTAGCTGTGTATCCTTGGGTAGGAGCAGCACTTCATCTGTCTCCCCAGCTGTGAACCAGGGGTGACCATCCCCACCTCACGGGGCTGCAGGGATGATGGGAGGGGGTACAGATGAGAACATGGCACTTCGCACCCTAACTAGGCACTTCCGTCTCTTCTCTGCAGGGCCCTGGGGTGCAGGAATTGGGATGCAAGCTGCTGTTGAGAAACACCCTTAGGGGGCTCCCCTCTAAGACAGGACGGGGGTCACCTCTGAGTCTGTACCTTAAAAATGCCAGCAATGGAGAGAGTGAGGCTGGAAGTTCTGGAGACCAGGAGGAACTCAGAGAAGCCCAGACCAAAGGCGAGAATCCCGCCAAGGAAGAGGCTCCCAAGTACCCGCAGGAGCAGCCCTGTGTCCTGGAAACGGAAGATTTTCTCAGATGTGGACAAATGGAGACCTGAAAGCAATGGGGGGAGAGAGCGGGAGGCTGCGTCCTGGGTGTGCCCGCCCAGCAGCCTCAGCAACCCCCCCCAGCAACAGGGGGAGATGTGGCACTGCGGCAGGGCACACCTGCTGCCTGTCTGAGGCCCTGAGGAAAAGGAAGGGAGGTGAGAGTCCCATGCAGATGGCCTGGGACTTGGGGCAACCGGGGAAGCGGTGATGGCTGCCAGAGGTCCTCGCAGGGAGTGATGGGGAGGGCTTTCGAGCCTCCGGGTTCAGGAGAGGGAGTGGCATGGCAGAGAACATCGGAGGAAGCACCCTGCTCCCTCACGGTGGTCACCCACGCGTCTCTGCGGGGGAGGGTGGAGGATTTTGCAGCTGTGATAACCACTGGGCCAAAGAGAGATGGGGCAACCCATCAAGTGAGGACCTTGATGATACCCTGGGCCCCTTGGGGAGTCCCCTGCTCTGAGTTTCAGGGGGGGCCACCTATACACAGGGATGAAGCTCTATCCTTACAAACCTTCATTTTAATCCAGGTCTGGCTATCATGTAGCCGTGAGACTTGGCCAAGACATGTCTCCTTTCTGGACCATAGTTCCCCACTGATGAAAGGAGAGCACTGGGACTAGACAGAGTTTCTCAAACACACAGTGTAATTTGATGAACAGTTCTCAACAACACACACACACACACACACACACACACAAATGTATGACAGAAGCCATGGTCCCGTTTCAGACACCTACTCAGGCATCCACATACCAAATTTTGCTTAGACTTCCAGAGGATTCTTGGCCCGCTAGCACTGCCCATCTGAGAGAAAGGCCCACTGGTGTATCGGCAGGGCGAGGTGAGCCCCCAGCAAGGCACAACAGAGACAACGGTGGGAGCCGGGGGCTGGCCGAGTACTTTTGAGAGTTTTGGAGGAAAGCACCAAAGAAATGCAGAGTGACAGGCCTCCCCAGGCAAAGAGCCTTACGATGTAGGACATCTTGTCTGCTGCTGGGCTCAGCAGTACTGCAAAGGCGTCGGCAAATTGAAGGGAATTTGGGGAAGAGCAACATAAGTAATGAAGGTGCTTGGGGGATTAATTTACCAGAAAAGATTAAAGCATCTAAGTCCGTGCAGCTTTGCTAAGTGACGACTACCAGGGGCTTTGGATGTGGGTTTGCAGAGATGGGGAACGGTGTCAACGCTGGGCGGGCGGGAAAGTGCGGCGTTTGGTACAGGAGGGCTTAATGAAGGAATGGGGAGAGATTTTAAAAAGGACAAAAATGAAGCTGCAGAACGGAAGTCTCCTGGACAACGGGGCTGCAGAATAATTTCCTCAGAGAGGTTCGTGACGCTTCACTGCTTGAAACTTAAACGGATGTGGGACAGAATTCTCTGTAACGACCCTGAGGACAGAAGGGACTCTGGGAAGAAGGATAAACAGACAAGGGACAGAGACCAATCCCACAACATGGGAGAAGGAAGGTGGTGCCGCACCTCCCAGCCTAAATGATTCTCCCTGCCTCTCCTCTTCTCCGGGAGATGACAGCGGAGGGGACTGCTGACCTGCCGAGGCTCCTGTGCCCCGGCCCCTGGCCCCCCCACCCAGAAGCACACACTGAGCACACAGCTGAACGCCTGAACCTAGTTTCCACTTCCTGGGACACCCCACCCCATCAGCCTGTCAAAATCCCATTCATCCTCCAAAGGACATCGTCTGGGAAGCCTTTGTGACTTGCCTTTCCACTCTACCACCCCGAAACACTCCATGACCCCTGCTCCTTCTAGGAGACAGAATGCATAACGGTTAAGAGGGGGACTCTGGAGCCAGCTGCTGGATCCAAATTCAGGCTTGTTTCTGAGCCATGAGACCTTGGGCAAGGTTATCTTTACTTCTCTCTGCCTCAGTTCCTTTCACATCCAAGATGGGGATTATAATAGTACCACCACACAGGGTTTGGGGGGTATTAGAGGCGTTGGCATGTTAAAAATGATTGGAAGAGCCCTGGCATACCCTCAGGGCTGTGCGGTCACTGTCATCACTGTCTGCTGTATTTCATATACACTCCTTACACAGCATTTATCACACTGGATTCTAGACGTTTGGTTTAAGTGTCTGTCCAGCCCCCAAACCAGGCACTGCCAGGGGAGGGGGCACAGTTTTAATCTCTGTAACCTCTGCTGCCACCACAGTGCTGGGCTCAGAGCAGAGACTGGGGGTCCGTTGTACTGAGATACCCCTGAGGTGGACAACCCAACGTACCTTCAAATATGGCAAAGAGAGGGAAAAGCCCCAGAAACATGAGTGGCTGCAGGTGGAACATGGTGTCAATGGGGTTCTGGAGCCCTGCAGAATGGGGAGATGGGTGAGCCCTCAGGCTTGGCCTGGCCTGCCTCCACCCCGCCTGGTGCCCGGCCCCTCTCTCACCAAGTTCTGCTTTCTGCAGGAGCATCTGGGTGAGGGTCCAGCGAATGCCACCGATGAACGAGGCCCCCAGCACCAAGGCAAAGCCCTCCACGTTGAACTGCGTGGACTTGTAGGTGAACATGAAGAGGCCCCCAGCGATGAGAAGGACCACCAGGACCAGCGCCGCTCGCTATTAGGATGGGGAGCAGGGGTAACTAACTTGGGGGTCTCGAGTTCATCATACCTGGAGTTTGGGGTCAGCAGCCATCTCGGATGCCCTTGGGCAAGAAACCCTTCTACCTCCCCCTCCCGGGGGTCCTGCCAGCTCCTTCCTGTCAATGTATGTAGGGTTTACGTTTAGCCGGCATGTACCCACCATGGCTACCTGATCTAACACACTGCACTGCTCTCCCATGGCTGTCCCAGGTCCCATGCCCTCCCCTGGACCCAGCACACAAAGGGCTACTGCCTCACACAGCAGGGAGCCCCCAGGACCCGGCTCCACCTGGCCCCTGTCCTTGAATCCTTTCTCCTTTTGTCATTACCCCTGCCATATCAGTTTCTAAATATTCTCAGTAGTGCCCTGTGTCTAGGTCCTTCCTCACTAACAGGAGGTACTGCCACCTGGGCTGGGCTTGTCTCCTTGTCACACACAGTGACAAGCCACTGCTCAGACTCCCCTTTATTCTTAGCATCTGCGGGAGCAGGAGGGTCAAAAGGGAAGCTGAGGCCTCACCAGCTCCTCCAGCTTGAAGATCAGAGAGAAGATCAAGATGAAGAGGACGGCTGAGGATTTGGTCATTGTGTACCTGGAAGCAAAAATTGCCCAGAATGCACCGGTGTAGCCCGGGCTCAGACTCACCACCAAGAAAGGGGCCCACAGCACAACCAGGGCAGCGGGCTCTGCTCAGGGCAGCAGGTGATGTGGGCGCAGAAGACCAGAGGAAGGCGGCCTGAGTTGCCTGGGCTGACCCACAACCTCTATCTGCCTACGCCTCGGTGGAGACCAGGAGGAGCGAGGAAGGTGAGGGAAGGCAGGGACTATGCTCTCTGAGGCACAGAATCAGAGAGATTCCTAACCGGTAGCCCTGCCCCTCTGGGCGGCTGCGTGCCCTCACACCGGTCAGTGCCCCTTCTCCCCGGCCATGGCTGTCACCGCTGTTTGAGCCCCTGGCTTCCCCAGGCCATCTGGGAGGCAGGCACAGCATCCCCTCTGTGCAGGGCTTACGGAAGAGGCTGGCGACTTCCTGGAGAGCTGCTGGGTGCCGGGTAAGAGCTGAGAGAGCAAGGGCTGGTCCCAGAGAGTGGTGTAGTGGCTGGCCCGCCGGCCGGTGCAGAAACAGCCGGCTGGACACAGAGCTCGAGGCTGCAGGAAGGCGGCGGGGTGGGGCCGGTACTCACAGTGAGACGGTGATGTAGAGGAAGCTCCAGTTGGACAAGCCCACGTCAAGCGCCGTCGCCAATGCTGTGGAGACAGGGGCCCCACCGGCCATAGCCGGGGCAGGCAGCACAGGTGGGCAAGGTGTTACAACAATCCCATCGGGCACTGAGTGCCCCTGCTCTGCCCTGCACACCCCAGCTTTCTCTGGGGCCCTTGGGCCTTCCTTTCTACCCAGCAACTAGAGGGTTAACTGTTGGCCAAAAAAAGCACGTGGTGTGCTCTAGCATTAGGGCTGCAGTCCACTCTGGTTGGCTGGGGCCTGTCTTGTTCCCACTTGTCAAATATTTTGAATATCCCCTTGATGAGATATTAATGGGGTATTAATCTGATCCTGTAGCTTCCTTACTGGAAAGTCTTTGGAGTGGCTCCCATTTGCCTCAGGACAAAACACACACTCCTCACGAGGACCCGGCCCTCCGGGATCTGACTGCGCCACCCCAACCCCTCTCATTCCTCATTTCTCCCGCAGCCTCTCACCAACGCTGAGTTCCCAGCATCCCGAGACTCTCTCAGTTCCCCTTCAGACCTCCACACCACTAAACCTCTCCCAGCCACACAGGTGCTGGCCCCTCCCAGGACCGGCCCGTTTCACTCACCCTCCAGGCCTCAGCCCACTCAGCCCTTGCTGTGGGAAACCCTCCCCACTCGGCCGCCCACCTGCACCTTGGCGAGTTCCCCTCCTCCGTGCTCCATGGTGCCCCCCATCGCCCTCACCACAGCACGGCGAGGGGCGGGACCCTGCACTCTGCTCACTACTGCCCCCAGGCCCCAGCAGGAGGCTCCCGGAACCACAAGGCCACTGCTGCATCAGAGCTTTTTCTGGGTGTGCATGGGGGGAGTGGGAAGATGGGAAGCACGTAACAGGCAGAAGCGGGGGAGGGGGAGGAGGCTGGCAGGGAAGAGTGAAGCAGGGGGAGAGGGCCTAAACTTCAAGCCACGAGGGCAGCTTCCTTTTGTTCTCGGCCTCTGGCTTTCCCAGCAACTCTCCTCTCCAGTGGGCCAGCCCCACGGCCCGCCCCAGGGCACATACCTGTCGGAGCCACTCTTCTGAGGTAGTCAGTCCAGCTCAGCACCACACGGGCCCTGTGGCTGGAGCACTGCACCAGGGCCCTGGACAGGGCAGAGAACAGGAAGATCACGGCTAGGTGCAGCATGGTCATGAAGAGGGGGAAGTGGAAGCTCTGTGTGGAGAACACAGCTCACAGCCCAGGTGCGGTTTACAGCCCGGCCGCGTCTGCCTCCTTCTTCCCTCCTCGCCTCTGGCTGGTGGCCGTGGGGCTAATTTCGTGGTTCACCAGGGCTCTGCAGTGTGCGAGGGGCTTTCACCCACATTAGAATCGCTTGGGATGAGAGCCTATGAGTCCAAGTTCTGGAGGTCACACGGAGAGCAGGTGGCAGACCGGGGGTCAGTCGTAGCAGGGTGCTGTCCACCTCTTCAACAGGCCTGTAGCTACCTGCTCCAGCCCCTCCCCAGCGCCCCTACCCAGCCAGCAGCCAGTGTGGGCCAGTAGGGCTGTGCCAATTCTTAAAATACTGAACGATTTCTCTACCAGATGGGAAAAAGCTGCTGCGAAAGCCTCCTGCTTTGCCCAGCCCACCCTCAGGGTCTCCCCCTTTCTCGATTCCCCTCGACCCCAGCATTGAAGGGGAACCCCTGGTGTGGCAGGAATTAGGGCCCTGTCCCATCACTGGCGTGACTGACTGGCTTCCAGTCTGACTGGCTGAAGCCTGGCCTTCCTGCTGTGAAACTTTAGGGGCACTGCAGCCACAGCCACCTCCCCGCCCGCCCCCTGCACCTCAAGGCCTCCGAGGTACCTTCGTCAGCCATTTGTTGTAGAAGGTGATGCCGATGGAGAAGCAGTAGTAGAGGAGGACCAGCCCCAGCGTCAACATCGCCTTCCACACAAAGGCCACTTCGAGGGCCCACCTCCCCATCAGTGGAAGCTGCAACTTCTAGCTCCGGGTCAGTGGGGGCAGGCCGCTCTCCCGAAGACAGCCCACAGGAAGAGCCGGTTGAGCTGGCTCAGGCCTTTCAACAAGAACGTCTCCTGCTGGCTAGAGCAGTTCTCTTCTTCTCCATGATTCGGAATGGTCAACAGAGCCCCAGGCGGAGTCCTCACCTAAGGGGCTGGTGGCTCGAGTCGACCCTCTCCATGATTAGTAACTGGAGGCAGGGCTCACAGGTCCCCAGGTCTAAGGCTGGAAGGATAAAAAGGCAGCTCTGGTGGCACGTGCAGAGTGAGGGCTGTCTGACTACCCATCCCCATCCCATGCCATCCTCACTCCACAGGGAGCAGATCAGAGCAGAGAGGACGCCAGGAAGGAGCCCACACCCAGCACAGGCACTCAGAGCTCCCGGGCACGTCCATTCTCTCGAGGCCTCAAGCTCTTCTCCATGAATTGCCACAAAAGTGACCTTTAAAAAGTGTAAATCTGATCATGTCAGCTCAGATGCTAGCCCTTCGGTGATTTCCAGTGCGCTTATGATGAAGACCAGAAACCCTTCCCGCGGCTAAGAAGCTCCACGCCCGCCCGAGGCTCACGGCCGCCTTTCAATTCCCCAAACACCCTAGGCTCTTTCCCGCCACCTAAGGAACTGAATGCTCTGCCCGCCCTCGTGCCTCTCTTCGCTCCCACTCATCTTCAGCTCAGCTGTCGCTTCCTCAGGGGCCCCCCATGAGTCCCCCTGGGTTTCGGGCTGCTCTCACGGCTCCCTACTTGTGCAGGTGTGATGATTTGAGTGGTCTGTGTCCCCTGGAAGGCTGTGTGCTCCCTGAGGACATGTCCACCATGTCCATGTTAGCCTTACGCTCACCCGGCACATTTAAGTTCTCCATGTGGTTTGATGACTCAAGGCAAGACAGCGGGCACGTGATTTTCAGGGGACTGATCTGTTCTTTAAGATGTTAAAAATGGACCACGAAACTGACACCTACCTCGCAGCAGCCTCTAACAACCACTCCCATAGAGCCGGGGCCTCCCCAGGGGCTTGCCAAACTAAACCGCTCCCTGCCTCCCTATCAATCAGTCAACTGTAATGAATGCCCAGAGCATGCCAGGCTCCAGGAAGACCAAGCCGACCGGGTCCAGTTATTCCACCTACTGCTTCATCCTCATGTCCTTCCTCCTCCATCTCTTCCTTTGAAACGTTCCCACCTTGCTGAAATGCCACCTCTTTCTTGAAGCCTTCCTAGAATATCTGATCAGACATTCTCCTACTCCCCCCGCCCCCCAGTCCTTTCTGAAGGGAGTAATCACCTTCAGTTTTCTACTCTGGAATCTGGGTTATCATTTCCCCTCCCCCAAGGCAAACTGTGAGCTAGCGAAAGACTCTGCCCAAGGACAATGGTTCTCTTCAGGGGAACTCTGGGAACCTGTGGTGCTGTTTTGGGCAGACATTCCTAGCTTTTGGTGAGTGCAGACTATGAGGGAGATAGTCCACATAACTAAAAATTGTTCGGCACTCTGCATGACTTTGACATTCCTGTAGGTGAAAGATCTGCTTATAATTACCCGAACCTAAAACCCAACTGTTCTACATGTAACAGAACAGTTTTTCCACTGTTCTACTAGGCACTAAAATTTCCAAGAATACACTTACCATTTACACTGGCGGGGGGGTGGGGGGACTGGACTGTTTTTGATAAAAGGGTACCACGAGTTCCCTGTTTAGAAAACCCACTCTATGTACAGCAACGGCACTCGTGGTTTTCGAGCTACAGGAGTCTGCACTGCGGCTGTCACATTTCCAGAGGTTCTACAGGGGAAAGTGGTGAAAGCATCAACTGCTTCACTGTGACTCCCAGTGTCCTTGTGCCCAGGAACTTACATACGGAAACACATTTTATTTTATTGTCAATTACTTTCCTTTTATTTCTCTTTTATTTAATGGTTAGGGCATCGTCAATTTTTTAGAAAGTATACATAGGCAGTATTTATTAACCATAAGTCTCATTTTAGGATAGGAAGGGAGGTTTGTTAATGAGATATTTGTCATTAAAAAGAGGACGCTGTATCCAATGGGTTGAGAACCACTATGCTATGCGACCTGATGCGGTCCCATTCCTGGGAATGTCTCCATTAAGCTGACACCTCCCTAACGTGCCTCTCTCCCTCAGACCTCCCCATGAACCCCAGAAGAATACCCTACTGCCAACTTGTCCCTTCCCAACCTGCTCTTCTTCCCACCTCAGCCAGTGGCAACACCATTCACCTAGTTGCTTAGGCCAAGAACACTGTTCTCATCCTTGACTCCACTCTCTCCCTCAGCCCATATTCAATCAACAAAGGCTGTCAGCTCTACTTTCAAAATCACCCCCAATATGATCACATCTCGCCACCTCCACCACCACCATCTGAGCCACCGCCCTCCTTCCCCCACACGATGCATTAGTCTCCTAAATGGTCCTCTCTGCTTCTCCCTACAAGAGCAGATGGTGGAGCACACGAGCTCTATCTTAATCCTCACCTTGAGTAATCTCATCCCATCCAACTGATATGCCCATGATTTCTGAATTCTTTCCACGAGCCCTCAGCTCTTCTGTGAGCTCCCATTTAGCACATCTAACTGCCTATCTGGTAGCTCCACTCATGATATCTAAACTTTCAGTGCCCCAAGATTTCTTTTTTTTTTTTTAATGTAGAGAGTGATGAGTTCTGGTTGGGTCACAGTAGCGAGGCAGTCTTTTAAGAAGCATAGAAAGCTTTCAGGATTTCTTTTTTTTTTTGCTGGGAAAGATTTGCTCTGAGCTAACATCTGTTGCCACCCTTCCTGTCTTTTTGTTTTTTCCTCCCCAAAGGCCAGTACATAGTTGTATACTCTAGTTGTAGGTCCTTCTAGTTCTTCTATATGAGCCGCTGCCACAGCATGGCTACTGACAGATGAGTGGTGCAGTTGGGTGCAGGGACCCAACTGGCTGCCAAAGTGGAGCGTGCTGAACTTCAACCACTAGGCCATGAGGGCTGGCTCCAAGCAGATTTCTTAATTCATGCCTCCAACCTATCCCGAAATCATTAGTAAGTGCCAGCATAATACATCTGGTTGTTTAAGTCTAAACCCCCAAATCAACAACAAAGTCATCCCAGACAACTCCATCCCTCCGTCCACAAATCCTGTCCCGTCAATTCCACCTCCAACATATTTCTTGACCCACTAACTTTTCTTCACCTCCACTTTGCCATCACAGTCTAAGCCACAATTATCTTTCACCCACTGGACACCTAACTGGTGTTCCCGCTTCCTCCCCTCCACCAACCCGGAGCACAAGCAGCAGGGACACGCCTTAGGCACAGACAGCAGACCCTGCCCTCACAGGGCTAATCCTATCCCCCCTGCCTCCCCCGCACCTTGCAGGCCCACCAGGAAGGCCTCTGCCGACCACCTCATTCTCCCAGCACCGCCCCAGCACTTGCCACGCCGGCCCTGGCCGTTTGTCAAGCACCTCGAGCCTGCGTCCTTCTTTGCACTTGCTGTTCCCTCTGCCTAGCACACTCTTCCGCAGACCTCCGCTCGGCAGAACTCTCCCGGAGGGCCCCCTCCTCCCCGGCGGGACCCCTCCCACCCCCGCTCGCTGCCTCGTTTGCCCACGCGTCTCCTGCCCGACCCCGCTCCCACCCCACGGCGGGAGGCGGCCTCTCCGCGGGCAGGGCCGTGGCGGCGGATCCCCGAGGGGTCCAGGCCCGGCCCGGCGGAGCGCTCGGAAAATGCCGCGGGAGCGCGCAGCGGGCGACCGAGGAGGCGCGGGGGGGTCCCAGGCCCCTGCACGGCGCGGCCCCCGCGGCCCGGCCCTCCCCGCCCCGCCCCCGGGAGCGCGGAAGCCCCGCCGCGCGCCCACTCGCCTCGGCCGCGGCCCGGGACCCTCCTGCCGGAAGTGCGAGGCCGGGCGCCCCCGCGGGGGGAGCACTTCCGCTGGCAGCCGCTGCGGGGCGGGGCCTCCCGCGCTGTCGGCCAGGGCTCGGCGTGGCGCGTCCTGCCGGGAGCCCCTGGAGGCCCGCGCTTGCGCCCCGACTTGCTGTGGTCGTTTGTCTCCTGCGCTCGGGCAGGGCCTCGCTCTGGAGCCCCGGCGCCTGCTCCAAAGCCGTGCGCCCTGCGGGGCCCACAAAATAGTCTCTTTACTGCTGTTGAACACGTTAAGCATTTACCTATGTGCAACCCAGTGCTGGGGAGCCTTGGAACGAACCACAAAGAAAAATCTCTTATAGGATTTTTCCTTCTGGACCTTAAGCCAGCTGGAGAGTGATGGCAAGTCAGGGGCATTCATTTTAGGACTTAGAAGATCCATGGGAAGTAATGATTATAACAAACATTTGTGAAACATTTTCTGTGTGCCTGAAACTTTATGAGAATGATCTCAATTTCAGTAGGTCGAATGCGGGGAGAGGGTCCCAGACCGAGGAAATAAGGAGTGGACAAGAAGACTGAGCTTGGCTTGGAATCCAGTTGTTCATACGCAGAGTCACCAAAAACGTAGACAAGAGGTAGGCTTCCGTGGTCCCAAAAATGGCAGCTAGGGAGTTCACATCTTATTCATCTTGTAGGGTGGAGTAAAAGGCAGAGCCTGCAGACAGAGAACCATTAGGAGGCCAGGGCAGGCTAGGGTTGCAGACTGAGGCCCAGTTGGGGCTTTTTGCCTTTGGTTTTCGGCCCCTCCTGGGCTCTCTGGCTCAAAAACTAGTTGTAGACAGGGACCTCTGCAAGTGACTCGGCTGGGCTCCCCGGCCCCTATGAACAGAAGGCTCAAGGCCAGAGTGAAAGCAGTGCATTACCCAAACCCCTGCTCCGTGCCACTGCCAGCTGGTATCACGCAGGCGTTAGTTCATTTAATGCTTAGCAAGCACCTACAGTGGCACCCATGGCCGCCCAAGGTCTTGGCTTTAGTCAGTCCTCAAGGCTTGTAGAGCCTGTGTGTTCTATGCCTTTTGAAAGAGCTTGTCCTTGCCCCCTTCTCTCTGAGGCAAGAGAAAATATCTATTTTCATCACCACCCTCATTCAAGCCTCGCAGCTACCAAGGCTGAGTTTTGGAGCAACAGCCTAAAACACCAGCTGGAAGGCTGGGCACCAAGCACCGGCAACACACAGGGTGAAGAACGTGTCTTCTTTGTAAGGCACAAGTACTCGAGCTGTTCCCTGGCTGTATCCCTGGCAGGGAGAAGAGAGAGGACATGTTCCCGGGGGTGTATAGCATGCCTTTCCCTTCTGTACCCGGCAGGCCTGAGCAGAAAACACTCTGTCCTGGTGCGACAATCTGTGAGCATCCTTAACCAGCAGGGGGTTGTGTGTGTGTGTACGCGCCCGAGAGTGTGTGCCGGACGCAGGCGTGGTGGAAGAGGAGGAAGGGGCTCTTGGAAGGTGGCTGAGGGCTCCAGCTGGAGCTCTCCCAAGTCTCGCAGACACAATGAAATGAAGGCTCGTCAAGGTGAAGCTCCCTTGGGCGGGAGAAAGTACACAGAAACAGCTGTTCATAGCAACCACAGTTTGTACATGAAAGAGTATTTATTGAAAACATGGTTACTGACAGGAAGCTCCTGGCTGCTCTCAGGTTACAATCTTGGCTCACAACTGGAAATGTTACTATTTTTTTTGGCCTCCAATTTTATTTTACCTCAAACATTCCATCTAGGATAGGTAGATCTTATATAAATATATATACACGTCTGTATAAGTATGGCCTATGGTAAAGAAAATAGAGAGTATGCTCTTCACTGGGCAGTACCTACCATGCCGGGCTACCAATGCCGAATGCCACTGTGTCTACGTGTGTCGAGGAGAGAGGCTGTACGTGTGGTTTACAAGTGCTGCAGCACCAGGGAAGCCCCACTGGCACAGCTGTGGCCTCAGCTGGCCTCAGCCAGCTCCCTGAAACCATGTCAATGGCAGGAACCACAGCGCTGGGATGGGGAGGGAGGGAAGGTAAACTTCCTGAGGTCTGGAAGGCCAAAGAAAAGCAAACTAGAGGGGCTGCAATTCAGGTTGGGTGGGAGATTTCTCCCCAAGGAAAAAAGATATAAATGGGGGTGGGAGGGTGGACTCTAGTGACCTCACTGCAGTCTAGGTCCAAGCCTCATCTGGCTCTCCCTGCAGAGTTCCTTGAGACTAACAGGGTGAGACTTAGCCCGCATGTCTTTGACTTGCCAGGATGAGAGACTGAGAACTTGCAGGGAGAAATTCCAACTGCCCAGACAACTTCAAGGGCAAGAGAGAGATCTGGTGGCTCCAGAGAGCAGAGGGGTTCGAGCCAAACCTCAGCAGGAGCCGCAGCAGCATGGCATTGGATGAGGCCGGAGTGAGCCCTCATGAAGACAACAAAATCAAGGGCGAGGCCTCTACTTAGATCTGAGCCACAGGCACAGGTCCCCCAGAGGCAGTCCCTCTAAGGCTCTCCACACTCCCAGCACATCTGGCCTCTGCAGGCAGCCTTTGCTGGGTCAGCTCTTGCCCACATGGGGATCCAGCCGACCAGAGAGCAGGCTCAGAAGAAAAGGTGAGTGGCATTATTAACTCCAACTCAAGAAGCAGCTTCTTGGCCTGGAAGGCAAGGGCGTCTGCTGTTCATTCCTCAAGGCCCGATCCTAGGCTCCACGGTGATGGGGAGGCCGGAGCACCCTGCCTTCATGATGCCTAGTGGCCAGGGTCCAAGAGGAAGCTCTGGGTGGTCCGAGGTGGGTTTGAGAAATGGCTGGCATTTACTGGCCACCACAGTCAGTATAGATTCTGTACAAGCAAAAGACAAGGCACCAGACTGTGTTTCTCCTGGGCCCAAAATCCCTTCCTGGGTACCATCGTCTCTGGCTCCAGGCTCAGCCATAGTGATAGACAAAGTCATAGCTGCTGGGCTCCTTGGGCACTGGCGGCGGAGCTTCGGGAATCTGGATGTTCTCCAGGTCCAGGAGCCGCAGCTTCATCTCCATGCTCAGCAGGGTGTCCAGGTCACTCTTGGTCAGCTCGCTGGACATGTCCTTCCCCAGAAGGGCACTGAGGCCGTCAATCCAGATGCAGTACTGTGGGGAGCAAGTTGCAAAATGTCACCTAGGGGCCCCTGGTCAGCAGGAGGTCCTGCCAAGGTCCCTTTTCCGAGAGGACTCCCAGCAGTCTCTTTGGCGCTATTCAGTATAGGCAAAATCGACTTGGGATAACAGCAAAGATAAACTGGGAGGTGAGCATCCACTTTCTCAAAAGACCTTTCGGTTTTTATGAGGGATTTACATTTAAACTCCCTAAGATAATATGAAGTATGATTTTTAAAAAGCAATTAATGAATAAAGCAAAATGCGACCTGAGCACTGGGGTATCAACTACCTGAAATTGCCCCTGAAATTACTAATGGTGGGAGGAAATATATACCAGGTGAAAAAAGCAGAACACAAATGGAATCACTGTAGGATCTCAATTTTGTTTGAAAAAAAGTAAATTTAAAAAGCCCCAGTCACTGAGTGTTAAACATTATTATTAGAGAAACTGAACTTGAGGGTCTCATGAGAAGAGGGGAATAACAGAGAATTCTCAACCCGTCCCTCCCCAGCACCTCCCGATCCATCTTTTCCATGCCTTTGCTCACCTGTCCCCCCGCCTGCTAGTTCTTCATTTCCTCCCAATAAAACTCCACTGGCAGCTCAGGCCCTGCCTAAGTGTCTCTTCTTCCAGAAGCCCCACCTCCAGTTCCCTCTGATGGCTCTCAGAGCTCAGCAGACATGTGTGGTCTCAACCACAGTCATTCATTTAACATCCAGTATCTCCCAGTGCAGCAGATGAAACTGTAAGCCCCATGTCGGGAGGACCAGATCCATCTGATCCACTACAACATGTGACCAGGTGCCCTGAGGGGGGAGGATCTAGCAGGTTCACTTGGGTAGGTGGCCACTAAGAAACTGAAAAGGAGAGAATTTTCCTAGTCCCAGGCAAATAAGTTATCCCAAGGTGACCCTGCTTTCTAATGACAACCTAAGGCTGCTGTTGAAGAGGAACCTCAATAGCTCAGCTCAGGGGCAGGACCCACAGCACAGCAGACCCTCAGCCTTCCTGACATGCGCTAGCCCCGCCGTTAGGGGGACATTCCTGTTCTGCGCACTCCTCCCCTCCAGCTGAGGAGTCACGGAGAGGGTTTGGCTGTCCAAGACAGCACCACACTGCTCACCTCGTACTTATTAGGTGCAATGAAGTTTAAGGTCTCATCAGGGTCATACAGGATGGAGAAAGCCAATTCCAACACCTCCTGAAGGAGAAAGGGTTTCAGTTACTTGGAGCAATGGAATGGCCTGGGCTCTGCACACCAAGACCTTGGTCAAAGTCCTAGTAACTTGGCACCATCACCAAATGTGCTGATTCAGGTGTGATGCCATC